CTGCAGACCATAGACTGGTGTAGACCCTAGACCATAGGGTGATCTCCTAAGAAACATGTTTCTAAGTATCGTCATCCCTCAAAGGAATGTGAAGCTGGATCACCTGCATCTTGGGTGAAGGCTTTACCTACTGCAACATTGCAAAGAAACCAGAAGAGCAAGCTGTGCTTTTAAAGTGATATGCAGCTATTCCCAATGGAAAACCTAATCCTGTTGGTTCATGCACCTGATCTGAGAACATCTATAGCCTTCCCTTGGGAAACAAGGGTGGAGAAACATTAAGCATCTCAACCCCAATTAAATTTTAATATAAGCTAAATGCTAAGCTGGTCAGGACTGTAAAACTGTGGCACTTTGGGGCTCATAAGCCCTGTGAAGGTTAGATAACTCAAAGACCAGAGGGCATGTGAGACGTGTTCTCTCCTCACATTCCACCTAACTGTCTGCATTGGTGCTTAAATTCTGGTTTGGATGCAGTCCATAGGCTATGGCCTAATATCACTGAACAGTTTATTCTTGTTTTTAAACCTACAGCACAAATCAAAGAATTTCAGGTAAAATAAATTAACTGCTCCAGCAGGGAGCTACGACAGATATCTTTGTTCACAACAATGCCACGTATACATGGCAAACAGCCAGCTGCTCTTGATGTACGTAGGAATGCCAAGAAAACTTGGCCTTTAATAAGCTGTCTAATTAACTACTAGTCTTATGGTGTACAGCTCAGTTTTCCTAAGTTACTCCTTTGCCAAAGCTTAAGTCTTTACATCTATTGCCTCCTGTGCAGCAAATGCATTTTCTAGTCGTTCTTCTCTTTTGAAACTACTGTAATGCAGATCAAGGGCCAGACTCTGCATTTTTTCTTTAGAAATGCCAAGAAACACTTATTCTTTGAAACTTCTGCCACTATCTGTAGACAAGCAAATGTGTATACAGATCTGAGTAAGCAACTAACTTTTTTAATAGAACTCACACCCCAGGGTGAAATAATAATTGAAAACTGTAGAGTCCCCCCTTTCTTAATGCTTTAGCTGGAGTATGAAAAGTTGAGGAGATCCACACGGATTTCTTAGACTGCATCATTTCATCAGGACCTGCTTAACACCAAAAAAATTATTTTCAAGGGAAATAAAAGCTTTTCATGTACTCACAGAAACCTTTACTTCACAGAAGTCTCAGACTGCGTTCCAAGACTGCCAAGGAAAACTAAAAATATAGCTACTGATGCTGGTAACAATCCATGGCCAGTATACCTACAGGAGGTTTAAGTAAAAATAAATTTTGCCATAAAGATTTAAATCAGTGGAAGTATAAACAGGCATGTTTTTCAATAGCATTTGAAATCATCCTGTTGAGAAGGACCACATAGCTAGGGAATGATGAGTTGACCTGATAGCAACTTTTTCAGACTGTTTGTCTCAGAGATGCATCTTGACTGGCTTCAGTTACATATATAGTAAGTGATACTGTGAGAAGAAATATATAAAAGTTCAAACCATGCAGAGGCAAGAGAAATAACAAATAAATGAGACTAGGAGTTGAGAACATAATGGAGCTGAATCTTCTTTAATCTGCCTAGGTGATTATTGACAATGTCAGCGCTGGCATACAAAGTGTATCCTCATGCAGTCACTGAGGACTGAAGCCTCCAAGGAAAACCAGGAGGCTTTGCACATGCTCTCAGCCTAACATGTAGCCAATGCTTGCCCTGCGCTACCAGCAGATGGGCAACCCCTTGATGCCTCTCCCCAATAAAAGATTCATACAAAGAAGTTGATGTTGGGAAATATTTCCTGTCCCTGTTTCCAGCATCCTTCACAAGCCTCCTCCACCACTGCCCAGCTGGGGTTCCATAGGTGGCTGCAGACTTTGCTTGGACTGCGGGATAGGCAGCACAGGTATGGTCACAGCATTGGCTGAAGAGGACAGGCTCTTAGTGTATCACTGTCCACTGCTTTCTGAGCACATTGTAGGCACTCTTCACTCTTCTTTACAGGTATTGTTGGTCCCACACCATCTGAGGACAGCTGTTTTCCAGCTGTCCATGGGGTGTTGGAGGAGCTAGGTAACTTTACAGATAAGTAATTTCCAGAATCACTTATCTTCTACTGTGGATTGTAACTAGATAAACTTTAAGATCCTTTCCAACCCAAACCATTTTGTGATTTTCTAGGAATGACCCTTAACTAATAGAGCCCCTCAATAAATTAATTTTATTACACCTGAAGTTAAGGTGTTTCATAAAGAAAGCATAAAGCCTGCTTTGTTTTGTCTATACAATTGTTGATGCAGATGAGCACTGCCTTGAATGTTTAATGCCTTTTTGTAATTATACTTCTTGTGTCATCAAATCTAGAGAACCGTTGTGAGGTTGATTTTCTTCTTCTGGTATGGCTTCATAGCTGTATCCCTGACATAGTTGCTTCTTGTTTGTCAGTGGAAATAAATCATGCACTGGCATGACACATCTGTGTGCTGATATAATTGTGCCCATACTGGGAGTAGTGCTGATGTAAGTATCTATGTAATAATGACACCCAGATTCAAGAAAGACTAAACGACACAAAATGTGCATGCAAAGGCAGGGCCTGAATTAATGTGTTTTATATGGTTCTTGGCACTATCAGCCTGAGAGTAATTTAGACCTCTTCCAGTAAGCTGCTTTCTGTCTTACATGCTTTTTACTACTTGTGTAAGGATTTCAGTTCAACTGTTGGTGTGGATTCAGTTCAAATTGCACTAGTATCTTACTTCCTGTACCGCTTACACTCATTTATTTAGACCAATTCTATCACCCTGAAAAGGTATTTATATTGGTACTATGCACATAAAATTTTTCTGAGTTTTGTTACTCATGCTGCTGTAGGTAAATCACTTGCAGTTACATAGACTTTACTCTATGTAAAATGTACCCGTAGACTGAAAGGGCCAGATCCAGAAGTGCTACATAAAGGGCTAAATGGATATGAAACTAAGCAAAAGTAATAGGAGTTTAAGCATTGTGGCTTCCTTTTTGAATATGCCTGGGTTGATAGATTTTGTAGTAACATGACCTCGCTTATAGCCTCTTCCAACATTGGTCCAGAAATGCTGAATGTAATATGAACTTTAATTTCCTAAATAAAACTGGAAAAAAGTGCTTTTCATTCAAAGTATTTGAAAGTGGGCATCCTTACCCTATACCTTTCCATACAGAGCCAGAAGCAAAGTCTGGGGAGTTAATTGGATGGCAAGTTTGGGAGCCAGTGGGGTTAGAGGGAACGTTCTCTGCATGTTAACCGGACTGCTACAGAATGGATGTTCTTAAACCATGGATTGTATCTGTAAAAATCTGGGAATAGAAGCACTCCTGAGCTTTATTTCTTCTCTTCTTGTGAGACTGTTTTGTTCATTGGGACTGTGACATTGAAATCTTGACATTAAATAGCACCAAGAGTGCACTTACTGAAAAGCGTTCCCAGGCTTCTGGAAGCCAGAAGATCTGATCCTGAAATTCTTGCTCCATATATGTTATATTGCTATGTAATTTTAGCTTGAAAATATCCTTTTTTTCATCACGGGGAAAAAAAAAAAAAACAACCTTTTTTTTTTTAAGAGTTTCTCTGTCACAGTATCTGTGAACTCTGTGTTTTTCTTTGACTTCACTGCGTTTTGAATCCTGTGCATTGTCCAGATTGCCTAAATTTGAAACTATCATAATCGGTGAACACTGTTGACCTGGAGCCTCATACAGGATATCTGTTACTCAGATAAATTCTGAAAGACTTCATGAAAGGGAGTCTTTATAAAAGGAGATCTCAAGGGAAGAAGAGAGTCTTAAAAATGAAGGGGGAAAAGGTCCTCTTTGATCATTTTGATAGTAACATTCGATAATACTGTCATGCCTTGAAAATTATATTTTCATTCAACCACAATGAAATGTCTAGGAGTGTTCCAAATGGCATGGTGCCTAATTCTCCTTCTCAACCAAACAAGCATATGTAGCACATTCAAATTAGTAACCTTCCCTCTGCTTTGGTAGAAGCACTGAGAAGTTATTGCTTATGGTTAAAATACCATGTCCAACTAAAGCTACCTTCATCATTATCAGTATAATTATAATCCTGGAATCAAAAAAGAAAATTTAATGCTATCTGCATGTGTTTTGGAGACACTCCATATCCATAAGTAGGAAGCATGTGATCAGGCTGTTGCACTACTAAGACTAGGGTTTTTATGCTCTGTCATATGACTCTTTAAGCAATTTCTGAGCTTAAATGAGTGGTATATTGGGTAATATTAAATATTGTATTACTCAACAGGTGTGACATGAAAGTCATATAATAGAAGCATAGAATGGTTTGGGCTTGAAGCAACCTTAAAGATCCTCCAAACCCTCCTGCTTGGGCAGGTACACCTCCCAGTAGATCAGGTTGCTCAGAGCCCAATCCAACTTGCCTTTGAACACTTCAGGGATAGGGCTTCCACAGCTTCGCTGGGCAACCTCTGCCTGTGTCTCGCTACCCTCATTGTGAGGAATTTTCTCATAACATTTAATCTAAATTTCCCCTCTTCAGTATAAGACTTGCCTTTTATTAAAAAAGGGGATCTCTTGTTCAAAGACTGATCAGGAATCTGAAGCTTTCTTTCTGTGCCTCGGTTCTCCTTCTGTAGAGAGATACTTCTTCTGCTTCAATTGTCATTGAAGAAATGCTTCTACAACATGTACGTTGAGTACCTAACTCAGTGCAAGTTTGCACTTCTGTATGCATGGCAGAAATAAAGTTTTAATAACTAATTAATTACAGAATGTGTGCAGATCCACTTAAACTCAATTAAAATATTCCCAGTAATTTTATTGCGTTGACATCTTTAGATGAAAACTAATGCTGATGTTTCTATCCAGGTTCAGTGGTTTGCAGTGGGCTGATGATTTTTAACCTGTTGTTACCTATAGGTGTAAAATTTTGTTTTCATTTTGATTTATGTTTTGTTTTGTTTTGTTTTTCCTTCCTGGGCAGGATTTATGTGGGCATCATTCATGTGATACTCTGGGAATGGCAGACGTTGGGACCATATGCTCTCCCGAGCGCAGCTGTGCAGTGATTGAAGATGATGGCCTCCATGCAGCTTTTACAGTGGCTCACGAAATTGGTATGCAGTGCCTTTTCTGTTCACTTGCCAAATCAAACACTTGTAACAGCTGCATTAGTAACCAAAATACTTTGCAATTAATTCCAGATTTCCCCTGGTCCACATACTCACTTGGGGATTAAGGCTGTATACATATGCACTTCAGGGTTAACTAATAAGGGATCAGAAGGCAAGTGAAGGCACACAGTAGGTGTTTCCTTTCTGACAGTGTCGTTTCTAAGCAGTAGTTGAAGTGAAAATTTAAAGGCTGCTGCTACTGTCCACAGATGTCAATATGTGTCCCTTCTGAGAGAGCATTTGGCCCATCTACTGTAATTCACATGCATCTAGTGCATATACAGTGGAAAATAACTCACCTTTTTGAAGTACTTCTATGCTCTGCTGTTATGAAACTGATTCTTGGGACGATACATTACCTACAGAGAAGGCTTTTATGGAAAAAACAGAATTCTGATATTTTTCTGAGTTTATGGATATTTCACCTTTGTGGTAAAGTATGGTACTATGTGAAGCTTGAAGTAAGTGAAGTAGTATTTAGGTGATAAAAACTTGGTGAAAAAAATGTTTAACTTTGTTTCAGTTTCCACTTCAGTGGGCAGCAAGTTAATGTAAGGAGCCTTACATACACCCTTCAGAAGGATTTGAGATCAAATTAATGATAGAAGAAGGTTCATATTCTGGGACATTATGTCTGTCATTATACATTCCTTGAGAGAGACTGCTTCCATCTTGATTATTTTTAATTTACTAATGTTTTGTGAGCTGTGTGCTCTGGAAATATGTTCAATATGAGGACTATTCATTTTGATGAGTGAACAGCAATTTAAAAGTGGAGAACTTTTTTTTTTTTCTTAACATTCTTGGAAGGCAATAACAAGGAAAGGAGAACTTTCAGAGAGAGCCAATTTCTGAATTGCCTTGTACCTCATGCCAAACCAAAGTAAAGTTTGCTTTGGGAGTATCATTGCAGTGGTTCAGTTTTCAAGGAGCTAGCAGGTAGAGCCCAGGAGTTGTGTGCCTCATATATACCTGGCTCAGCAACCAGAGGTCACCAAGAAGGAAAAAGGAGTTGGTATGTTAGTGGCCTGACCCTTCAACGATTAGTGAACCTAACCCTACTGCTGTTAGGGTGCCACAAAGAAACAAAATCAGTAGTGGCTGGAGAGGGATCACGTTGCAAGAAAAAATAAAGTGTTGTGGGAAAATTAGTCCCCAAACCAGAAATTTTAATAAACAAGAATGTAATTACACAAGAAAAAGCTCTCTGAACTCACTATTTCAGAGCCTGTGGAGATACATACGGCAATATGTCAAATACAACTTCGCATCAGATGAGTTAAATGACATCCAGGTTGGATGCTGTAAAGTTAGTGACCCATCACTAACCTGGTCTAGAACTGGGACAAGTAGATAGATTGACAAACTTAGCCTGTCAGTCAAAGGCGAGTCTCTGAGAGAGACTGCTTTTATCTTTTTGCATCCAGAAGTGATGCTTACTGCTGAAGGTTAGTGGGCATTGGAGAGGTTGGGTGAGGGACCTTCTCGTGATGCCAATGTTTACATATCTGGTGTCTGAAGAGGTTAATAATGATTGTCAGCTACCATTTTATCAGCAATAAGTGTGTGTTTAGATAGTTAAGAATGAAAGAACATAGATCAGTAAAGATAGGGATGAACAGTAAATACATATATTATTACTATGAATTCCACACAAAGAAAATGTAAATACAAGTGAATTATTTTTAGGGACCAAGAAGCACATTTTTGAAAAAGAGCCATTTTCATACCTAGCCATTTACAGGAATCTGTAAGAGCTATAATTTTCAATGTAAAAAAAAAGTATTAATTGAAACTAGTAAATAAGTACTGCAATGGGCAAAGAACCTCTAGTTTGAGGTTGTTTAAAATAACATCTCTCTTTTTTTCTCTTCACCATAAAATTTTAAGAAAGGAGGAATGTCAACTCTCAAAATGATCTTTGTATGTGTGGCCTAAAGTGGGAGAAGTTGAGAAGAAAACAGCTAAAATTGCTTGAGTACTTACATTAAATTAAAGGTCAAAAAAAAGATGAAAAATAAAAATGTGGCATGGATACCCTCTAGTTAGGTACTTTGGGGAGAACCTTGCTTTATTTTATTTGGAGACAAGATTTCTGTCTACCACTCAGAAGTCTTAAAGTTCCCCCTGTCCTCTTGGTAGGGTGTAGGTCTTTACATTTGTAGCAACTTAGTTATTTGGAGGAATTCATCTGACAACCTAGGAGATGCCCTCCATAGCAGAGGGGATGCTACAGGTTCTAAGCCTAAGATGCTCCTTTCTGTCAGTAGGAAGTGCAAGGTGAGCTGCTAAGTGAATGAGAGTCATTGTCTGCAGTTTTTTTAATAAACCTGCTTCATGTGCATGTGTAGCAGACGCAGGGTCGTTAATATGGACTTGATCTGGAGAATAGTGGTGTGTCCTCACTTTGACTTCAAGGGTATCTGACTGCTCTTGTTTCCTCTCTGAAAGAACCAAGGGCATTTTTTAGGATCATATTCTTTCTCTGGAAGGCAACCAAGATGGAATTGCAGCTCAACCAAACAGGACAAAACACAGCCCAAGGGCTCAGGCTGGATACGTGCATAGGAAGCCAAAAAGCAGCCTGCGGCAGAATGAAGCCTGCTGCCTCTGTTGCCAAGGTTTCTACTACATTATGTGTTAGATGTTAATTTTATTTGTTTCAGATAAAACAGATGGATTTTGACCAATGGTTTATGAGGGGAAGAGTATGAATAGCATACCATAACAGACAAAATCTCTATAGAGCTGTAAACAAGCAAAGAAAACAGGTGCAGCCAAATTCCTAGTATCACTGATTAGCTGCAAGAAGAGATGGAGATCTGTATATAAAGATTGACAAGGTAGGACTTGAATGTTGTCCTACTTGTATGTAGGAAAAACAGGAATAATTTGTCTCTAATGTCAAATGCAGAAAATGAGGATAATACTCCTCAGATTAAAGGGACGCAGTTGTAGTAGCATAAATGTTATTTTTAAACCTGAGCCTGTCAAGATGTCCAGCCACTAATGGTAGATCCATATATGGCTATTTTATAGCAAGGGACGTGCTGCAATCAGTTTGGACATCAGTAGCTTTGCTATCATAAAAATAGTCTTCTGAAGGCTTGCCTGAAATCATCAGGTCATCTTCGTCTTGTGGCATATGGATGTCTTTTTTGACTTGAAGCAACTCTTTTGGCTATACCTCCATAGCTTTGCAGGGGTGGCTGAGCTAGCTTAAATATAGTATGTAGCTATTCTGCAAATCTTTGTTATCATCAGCCAATTGTCTGAAAAAAAAAAAAAAAAAAAAAAGTTTTCTTAGTCCATGCACTTCCCTTCTTCACAGAGGCATCTGGAGAAAAGGATTAAAAAACCTATGATTGCTCACAATCTCAACATTCTTTTAATGTTTTTCATAGGTCAGCACCAGCATTTCTTTTCTCTGTATACCCCTTATTAAAATAACCATCAGAAAAAAAAAAACAAAAAACCAACAACACTAGATTGGGTTGGAGATTTTGTTGCTTTTATAGTGTTGAATTATAAGCCAACCTGTGCATCCCGTGAAGATAAAAATGACCCAACATCACCAACAGACACAATCAATTGGAAGTTACATTTAACATCTCCTGCGATGGGGTATATCCAGTGCATGACAAATTCCTTGTTTAGTAGCCTGGTGTTGCATTTTGTGATGCAGTTGCTGTCAGAAGTTTCTGTTGACTTCGGCTTCTATGCTGGAGGCCCACATGCTTAGGTGCAGACAACCTACTGCCCTAAAGGGTTTCTCGTCTACAAAAACAAAATGAGAAGAGTTCAAGAGAAAATAAGTGAAGCTACTGCTCGTTTGATCAATAGACAACCCAGAATCACAAAGGAACTCAAGGAAAGCCAAGGATTTAACTTGTCTTTTGTGTCCTTAAATACAAATACATTCTGCCTGTAGTCTTTAAAGCAGGCAAAACTCCGGGTTAGTTCACTGAGAGTTACATGGATCTAATAACTTAAATTGTATATGTCTTTATTCTTTCTATCAATCTTGAAGAACTTTTTTTTTTTTTTTAACTATTTTTTAAGAGGAGATGCAAGGAAAGCACTGCATTTTTGCTTAGTGGTAATGTTCATTTGACCTTTTGCAAAGTTCCTATTTGCAACCACAGTGGTATGCTATTACTCCTTCTATCCTCCTGAGTAATATGGTTTACTGATGTTCTTTCCAAGTTTTTTATTTTTAAAATGTAACTTTAAAATTGCTACATGGAACTAATTAAACCTCTCCTTCATTAGTTCTCTTTTATCTTTTCCATGTGACTTTTGAGAAGGGCATAAAAGCAGTCTTCAAATATATTTTTTAAAATGTTGCGAAAATTTACGTAATAAATCTTCCTCCGTGTCCACCTGGGACAGCAAGGGGTAATGGCCTTAAATTGCAGCAAGGGAGATTTACTTTAAGCATTAGCCAAAATCATCTAACCAGAAGGACAGTGAAGGGCAAAAATGAATTGCTTGGGGAGGCTGTGAAATCTCCATTACTTGAGGTTCACAGGATCTGCTGGCTAAAACAGCTGTGGCTTGGGAGATGCTACTCCTACCCTAGGGCAGAGGAATGCACAAGATACCTTTTCAAGGTCTTCTTTCAGGCTCATTTTCTATGGTTATGTGAAGTTATCACAGCTTCTTCCACAGCTATACTGTATAACACCTAAAATCAAGGGAAAGTACAGAAACTAACACTAGAAAATAACATAATGAACACCAAATCTTTTTCAGCAACCCATCATTCTCTGGCATCTGCCATCACTGAGGACAAAAATATCACAAGTGCTGCTAGCAAAGTATTAGCATAATTTTATATAAAGAAGCCATTTTAGAAGTGAGGTATCATTCCTGGATTCCCTACTCAGTTCACTGAAATACATCAAAATACCACTGCTGAATTCTAAGTAGATTGAAAGTAT